CCAAGTATAGCGTGGACAATTAACTTCTCAGAATTCGAGGACCAGTATGTCAGAAGTTTCTAGCTAGCGGAATTTCGAGTGATCTTACTTCAGCACGAAACACTGCAAAAACGTATAATCGTACGGGCCCGCCCAGTGCGCGTCGCCAATGATTTTTATTCTGCTTCTACGAAAAAATGTCATAATATCAGAATTAAAATAGTTGAGGCTAGCCATCTGGTTGAAATTACCATTTTTCATTTAAAAATAAAAAAAGCACAAAAATGCGATGAAGAAAAAAAAGGACCTAAAACAGAATGAACTACGAAATTAAAAAATTGGGAATTAATGTGCAAATGTAAAAATACCTGTAGACTGGAAAAACAGTAGTAATGGCAAGAAGAAATACATTATTGGTATTTCAAGTACTGGTTCATCGAGCGCACATGGACGTGTCTTTACTGCTGCCGCTCACTGATACGCTCTTCAGCGCTCTTTGTTCCTCGTAACTTTCCATTTTTATCCCACTTTCACTGTTCTTATCCCTGCGCCTATCCATACACACAGCCCATAGATTCAGTGCCGTTGCTGCATCCAGAAATCTATATCAGCAACTTTCCTAAATACCTGCATTCCAGCACTGCTATTGCCCCGGATGACCGCTTTCCCTTTTTCATCGCCATGAAAACAAAAAAACTTGTTCCACGACTTTCGCGAAATTGCTACGTAGTATTAATCAGCCATTCAGCAGAATCGATACACTTTGGCAAATTTTTAATGAAATTTTCGTGTAAGTTTGAAAGACACTGAATAGAATTACTGGGAAATGCTGCACAACAGCAGACGCTCCAGAAACAGTTCATCTCAACAGAAATTCAAAACCGAACATCTTCTGAAAAATGCAGAAAAATAGTTCTCACGAGGTAATCGCTGATAAGTGGGCGAGAAAACTATGTACTCGTTTAGAACGATCGAATTAATGTTTACTCACCACAGTGGATTAAATCCTTGCTCCTGTACAAGTCACTTTGCCAAGCGCGCTATAAATTTGTCGCTTTGTTTATTAGTGCGGAAAAGCAAATTCCAAAAGAAGCGGAGAAGCTTATGTCATCTACCCATAGCAATAGCAGCCCCCGTTTTTAAGATGTAACAATATTTCACAATCTCCACTGTAGTTTCTCCTTTGCACCTGAAGCAAATTGTGCTTCAGCTTCCGCAAATCAGCTGCGGCAAATCCAGCAGAAGAATTTACAAATGAATTTGGAGAATTTGAATTGTTCATCCTCCAACTGTTTGCCTTTGTCTTTCCAGGTATATTTTGCTCTCTCAAGTCGCATTTGCCAGCTCTTTCGCATGGCTCCTGCAAAGAACCAGACAATATTTGTGAGCGTTTTTTTTTTGCCTCCGCCTATCTGTCTGTCTATTTGAATAATTTAGCTGCAGAAATAAGAAAGCTGAGAGGCCAAAATTCTGGAATTTCAATCAACACTGTCCATTTTGTCAGAAGCCTGAAATACATACTTTTTTGCATACTAATCTAAATTCCAAAGTTGTCCACAGATGTACCCAAAGCTCATCTCATTAGTGCATTGCAAACAAATAACCTTAAAATGTCAGATTTGAGGCTTATTTAAAAGTAGGTAAAAAGCGTCGGTGAGGCAAGTGTCCGCATAAATCATTTAAGCTTGTGCTGAACCGACCAATAATTGAATCGATTTTAGGCTCCGTCTGGACAGCGTTAGTGATCGGTCCAGTATGAACAACAATATAAATGTTTGAAAAATTGACTTCACAACAACACAAATGGTTGAAAGGTGCAGAACATTCAGTGTCTCTTTATGTTTGTAATTCGCCAGCTTCCAGAAAGCATTTGGTTTTGTGGAACACAACGCTGTACTGCAGGCTCTTAGAGGCCAAAGGATAGATATACTTAGTCTGTCAAGGATTTTTTCACCAGCTCAGACATGAAAGTCACGCTTTTGGACAAATCATGAATAATGCTTGACTGAAAAAAGGGTGTAGCAACACTTGTTTTTCGGAAGCTTCTATTTCCTCTTGGAAAATATCTTGCGGAAAACTGAAACATTAGAAGGGTTTTTTACCAGCAGTGATTTGGTAATTAAACATAATGCATCTGTGTTTTTTGCAAGAATCTACAGATCACTGCCAAAATCAAATTAGCTCGTGATTAATGCGCTGAAGACCGACCTCGAAATCCCCGAAATACCAAATGGATGAAAAACGCGTTTTGCCTTTCATGCAAAGTTCGTGAATTAATCTAATGAGCTTGTAGACAAATGTACTTAAATGGAACAAACAAAGGAAATAAATAACAACTAGAAAAGGGAGAGAAGTACCGACAAAAACATCTGGTTTCTTGACTTTGAGCACTCTTCAGAGAAAACCACAGCACCCCTCTGCAGGCATTTGCACAGTCGCCTCATGATAATTCCAGAGGATTAAGGGTAACTCTCAGTAGTAACACTTATAAAGAAGGGTAGTAATACACCATTAGACTGCAGTAATAATTTGAAAAGTGGTAGAGGTTTTTTTTTTAGGTAGAAAGCATTCGAAGAATAAGCGATCCAGAAAACAAATTGCTGGTGGAGCATTTTGTGAAAGCCAGGATGGTTTGGTTTGGTGTGCTGCGGGCTTATATTTGCTCGGTGCCTGGTGCGGTATGTCTGTGCTTCTTCAAAGTTTACCTCTCTGCCTGCCCGATGATAGTTCTTCAAAAAATGCACCGGTCAATTTCAGTGTTTACATTTCAATGCCCTGTAGAAATAGACACTGCTGCATGGTCGTTACTACGTTCTGACCTACCCACCCCGTTTGCTTCCAGCTTATTGTCCAGTATTAATTTTCTTCAGCTGGTAACTTCATATCTAACCAGTTCATGCGACTTCCTGTAATCGTTGCTTTAGGAGGCGACTTGCGGTTTTTGAAAGCTTTTTCTATGAACTGTCTTCAGCATCGATTTGTGTATGTATGCGAGGACGCACTTTTTTAATATTTTCTCATCACTCTTTCGTATCCAAATTATTATCAAGGCAGGCTATACCGAGGAAAATGGATATAACTGGCAATGGCTTTGCTAATCTCCTTTCTACCTTTGTTCTCTTTCTCATTATCCACACTTTATCTTTCCTGGTTTCCTTCTGTTTGTATACAGCTTTATACAAACACAGTCATTTGGAAATGAGGTCTCACTAGACCAGAACAATCACGTTATCACTGGATTTTTTGACCTTCACCTTCGATCCTACTGTAAGTTCAGAGTTTTGACGGAAAATTCACTACCTCAAACTTCAGAAGATAGCTGTATTGCTTCAATGAGAGCATTTTGTTCAGCCTAGTTCCCGAAGTCGTTTTTCTGCCAAAAAATTGCACAGATTTTTTTTGGCTTCCACATGTGTGATTCAGGCGTGCGTGAAAGTTGATTTTAGGCTGTTTGGTTGGCACGAGGCTAGGAATAACCCTGTGAAATGCCAGCTTTTTAGCTTCTACGGTTGCTGTCTTAAACGTTGGCAAAGAAAAATCCAAACACACTCACATATACACTCTCAATCTCTCGAATGTGCAGTTTGGCATGTACAAAGGATGCAAAAGCGTATAATGAGTCGAGCTGCAAGCGTGAAACCTCGGGGTCTTGATTTCGATTGCTGCAAAATGTCTGACCTGAAATCCGCTCACAACTTTGGCTGTGTCTTAACCTACCACCTCATCTTCATGCAGAAACTATCGCTAATCGTTTTGTGAACATTACGAACTTGAATTTAGACGCATCTCATGGCTTGATGGGTTAGAAGACCATCGTAACGAAAAGCAGTCGCTTTCTGGAAAGGCTAGCACCTTTATTTGTCGTGTACTTGCATAACTTTTGTTGAAAAAGCATTCGCGCAATAGTCCTTGCTGCACGTAGCTGCCTGTTTCACCAGATAAATCTTTTGTTTTGAATTGCTGGAGATACTATGAATTCAAAGGATACAGAATTTACTGAAGCTCTGTACCCGTCTGAAAGCCGATTTGAAGCAGCCTGCTAGGACGGTGGTTATCATGACAATTATCCGGCAGCTCAGTATGTCCTCATTCCCGTCCATTCCATGCAGCTATGTACATAACACCAAAACTGTGATAGGCGAATGCTCACCCTCCCTTTTTTACCCCCGTTTTTTCACTATCTTCAGCTAGACAAGACTAACCTTGCTAGCGAGTTATTACTTCCCAGAGAACGGGGAGTGTGTGGCCGAGGCGTAGCTGAATCCGAGCAAGCTCCAATGCTGGACACCTTCGCCTCGCATCCAGCCCTTCCATTGCTCATTGATTTTTAATACTGTTTTTGAAAGCTGCTAAAAGTGCAAACGCCACATGCTCTGAAAACACCAGAGGCGCAGACAGCGACGCACAGAGGAACACGACTGGTGCTAGAAGAGCCGGAGATGCTGGCAACCAGCGTTCTTCCCTGCAGCTATGTCGCTATCCAGAACGCTTCTTCCGTTCTTTGGTTCTTTATGAACTTGAACAGATGGCACGTTCCTGAAACGGGCTTGCTCCAGCCGCAGCCTGACTGTTTCATTAGGAGTTTGTTGTAAGGCGTGACTGCTTTCACAAATGGTCGTGTGGGCACCTGTCTGATGCCTGGACTACGTCTCTGTATGTAAATTATGCAAACAGGTTCGTAGGCTGGGACTTGTTGTTTCTTCAATATCCTGAGCGCCCGGTAGTGCTCTCGGAAGCCAACTCCTCCGTCCCTTCTCTCCCATCGCTTTTTTCTTCGAGCATTTCGTCCTCACCTCTCCTGCGATCAACCGACCGGTCACACCTAAACTCGTGAGACTGTGTCCCCTTCCCGGCGTAACCACGCCAAGGCTAAGTCCGCGAGTGAGAAGTGGCGCTCTTGGCCGCTGCCTCTCCGTCTTTTATGGTTACGAGCTCTTCTCTGCACTGCTCATTGCGTTCATGTTTTAGATAGCTTGCGGCCACGGCAGTCTTATCCAAGGCCAAGGTTGTCGAGGCCAAAAATGCCCGCAGACAAGCGTACAGCTGCTGCTGCTGCTGAGAAAGCGCCGGAGAAGCTGAAGCCAATACCTCTGCAAGGTGGTCTTTCCAGTCAGCTGGTCCGCAAGTTTGCTTCGCTTTCTGTTGCTGATCAGCGACGGAGCAGTGATGGTGCGGAAGAAACGAATGCTTGCGCCAGCGGCACGGGCCGCTCCGGCACTGAAAAGATTTCTCCTTCGGATTTCGTCGCTTTGCAGAGGCTACGCTCCAGCACGCTAGCATGCAGAACGAGCACTGCATTCAAAAGCAGCCGCGATAGTGGCATACTGTTCGGCGACTTGAGAAACAGCGATGCTTTCAAGAAGTATGAGGTAAGCGAGCTCATTGCTCCGGAAATCACATGCACAGCGTTTCTCAGTTTCATTTCCAAAGTGATTCATGACCAGAATTTGAGATACCTGAACTGCTGCACAGACGCTAAACTTCGTCGAGGAGTTGGTTTGAGAATTCCAAAGAAGCAGTTGTTTCTTAACCGCTTGTGTTAGTTTACTAGCCCAGAACTGAGAAGGAGAGGAGGGCGATTGATCCAGAGTTAGTGTTTTTCTCATTCTCCCGATATGGAGGTTGTAGCGGGCTGCCTGTACCATCTCCTTACAGAAGAAATGTGCGCATCTTTTTTTAGAAAAACAATTTTTCCAGTAGTTGTCTGTTGCTAAAGAAATTCAGATGTGCCTTCCACCGAGCATACTTTGATTTGTCACTGCAAATTGTCTCCGATTCTCTTTGCTGCATTTCTAGGCTCAGAAAGAACAAGCGAGCTGGAAATTTGACCGAATAGCCGTTACGTTCTCTCTCTCCACATTGTTTCAACAAGCCGTTATTTCTGGCAATTATTAAAATTCGGCTTGCCGGATCGAAAGGCGGTGGTGATGGGGAGGTGGGGACAGGAGAGGGGAGGGAAGAGCAAAGGTTCGGGGTGGCGGTTTAAGTCTGGGGATCGTAGCGCGTGGGGAAGGGGTGGAGTTATTGGCTGAAAAAAACCTTAGTTGGAGGTATAAATTGGGGACAGGGACGGGGCTTGTGGGGAAGGAAGTGCCTTCATGGATTTTTTATGCTCAGCGTGGAACTTGCTGTTGAGGAGAGGTTTTTGTCGAGATACGATTCTAGGTGTCGTGTTCAAGAGTGCTGACTTACCTCAACACTAAGTTTCATGCTGAGCATAAAAAACTCATAGGATCATCCTTCCGTAAGCCCCGCCCCCGCTTCCAGTTCCTGCCTCCAGCCAAGATTCCAGCTCCCTTCCAGTCGGCGGCCGCCCCACCTCCTTGCCTCCGTTTGGACCTCGGCATAAAGCTCCGTCCCTCGCCCTCACCCACCCTCCCACCGCCTCCTCCAGCGCCTCCTTCCCGTGGCCTTTGCATCCCGAATGTCGGTGCAGTCGAGTCAACTTTTTTTTAAAAGAATTTTTTTTTAAAGCGACCGTTGTGATGCGCAGTGATTGAGCCTACCCAGACCCCTACTGGGAATGCGTGACACATAGTTGTGCGCAGAATTGTTTTCCGCTGTAGAATCCGCGCTTCTGGAACTTTGCATTCAAATCTAAACTAGTACTGTTCATATCAATTCTATTTTTTAAAAGTTGCATCGAGGTTTTGAGCTTTTTTCTTTTGTGTGTGAGATGAAATTTTGTTTTCAGGAGGGGAAGAAGAAGCAAGAAAGGAAGGATGCAGACAGCAGCAGTGCATCATTGGAAGAGGCGTCGACCGCCAGTAGTCCGGATTGCTCCAGAAAGGGTGACCGGGACGCAAAAGAAGGGATAAAGAATTTAGAAGATGAGAAGTCTGTAGTGCTACTACCTCGTGGTCCTGTCCGTAATGCGCGCAGCAGCTTCACTGCGCATGCTCCCTATCCGACTAGAAGCGGCTGTTCAGTCACAGCACCGGTATCGAGTAGTATTGTGGGAAGTCACGAGCGAACGTATTATCAGCAGCAGTGCAATTTTGAAAATGCAAATTATTTTCCAGGGGTGGAAACCCCTCTCGATTTTGTGAACACTAAGTCGAGCAGTTCGACACCAGACACCGTGCAATCTGATTTAGGCTATGGTTCCTCCAGCCCACACCAGATCTCCCCAAATGCAGAAAAAAGCAGTGCGTCCCCAAGAGATGTTTTAGACGATGCCCAGCTTCCGGAGGATCTTTCTGACTTCATCTTGGAATATTCCCGACAGTATACGAGTACAGTCCCGTTACCGGGAAATGACGCGAAAACACGATCCCGGCATAGTAGCAGCAGTGATACTAACAATCAAACAAATTTCGATAGTCCGTTATATCGAATTCTTGTTGAAGACGAGTGTGTTTCACCGCTTTCGGCAAAAAGTGCACCACAGTTTTCCCCGGTTTTACCACGGGCAGCTACTCAGATTCCTGCGATTTTTGAAGAAAGCACTATTGAAAGTATTTGTCCGTCCATAAATGCTGCGGATCCTGGGTTACTGTCGATTGTTCAAGGGAGGCGCGCAGGACCACGTTATGCCAGGAATCGCTTGCGGTCTATCATTGGCGACAGGGAAATGAGTGAAGCATGGGTGTGGACATGTAAATGCATCCAGGTTTGCATTCATCCCATTTCTTCCGTTTTCTAAAATCGAAAACATCTGAGACATGTGTTGTTGAAGAGCCTCTGCAGCTTGTGATTTCTCCCAATGTGATGAGTGAGAGGGGAAGAGAGAGTGTGTTAAGGAAGAATCATTTTAGTAACTCTAGTGCCCCAGTAGAACGGCTCTTGCGAGCAAAGAGACAGCCATCAGGATGCACATCTGCACGTTGCAAAATTTCACTGCAAGGTTATACCGAAGTACATTTTTTCGAATTTTCCATGCCAAAACTTGCAAATTTTTTGAGAAATCCTAGCTTTGCAAGAAGTGAGAGAAAAAGCAGAAGCATCATTACAGGAGCTGAGAGGCGCTCTGTGCTACCAGGATCCGGATGGCGATAGCTTACTGCACATCGTCATACTACATATGGATCTTGCAAAAATCTATGCACTTGTTGAGCAGATGCTAAAAGCTGACGATGCATACACACGACGCGCCTTCGATATGCCGAATCGAGCGCTTGAGACGCCTCTGCATTTGGCCGTACAAAAGAACAGTCCGGAGATTGTGGCATACTTGATCGAAGCTGGAGCCAGTCCAAATACCCGAACACTGCCTCCGGAACAGCAGACGCCACTTCACCTGGCTGCATCACAAGGAATGAGTGAAATTGTTGAAGTAATATTTATTTCGTGCGTGACGGGCCACCAATCTGCTGCGACATTCCCCTGGCCTCAGCCCTCAGGTCGAAAACGTCATTTGAAAATAAGCTTATCTGGGGGTACTGACTGTGGACAGCCATGTAATCATACATTTGCACCGCAAGCAGTTCTCTATGTCTAAAAGTCTGACTTTTTGGTCCCCAATTTTTATGTCAAAATACGACTAGCAAACACCGCGTACCAATAACCAAAGAGCAGGCAGCTGACGGCAAATTCTGAAGGACCAGTACACTGCAGACTGGATATGTCATAGACACTTGTAAGCCATCGTAAACCGCTGTTTACCCTCACACGCTCACGCGCACACACACACCCACACACACACACACACAC